GTAAATAATTTGTGATCTATTGATGCTTTGTTAAGAAATCGATTCAGTGTGAGCTGAAAAAAGTAATGACAATAAAAAACACATCATAGTTAAATTAATACCATCTCAGCTTCGCATCAAAGATAAAACTATTTTTTATATTTTTAAATTTATGCTATAAATTTTAAAAAAATGTATGGATCATTATAATTTTTTTAAGACAAGTATTATTTACACTCTTCTTCAATGCGACATACTTGTTTTTTTAAATCGGACCATTTCCCTTCATATATTATAAATATATTCATATTCATATATTACACTTATAAATCATAAAACTTGTAATCAGGATAGAAATAAGAAAATAGAAGATCATGTAGCTTTTGAAATAATCCATCAATTTTTTAAAATTAAACACTCTCTACGAATTTGCATCGAAGATTTTTTTAAGATAGTGATTTTAACCATAGTCAAATATCATTTATACTGGACCCAGCTAAGCCACGTCTCTACTGTGCTCGATTTTTTTAATACTTAAAACTGCCATAACTTTTGAAAATTGAACAAATCAAAATAATTATATTTTATATTGAAACCTTAGATATTTCCCTTTCATATGATATAAATTTTTTTTAAATCTAACTCTTGACCGTTCACAGGGAGGATTTAAAAAAGCAATTTTTCCATACAAATTGATCTCTTTTTTTAATTTTTGAAAATGTTTCGGAAATATTAATACTTTTATTTAATCTTATATTAAAGCTTATATAATATACTTTACTACGAAAAAAAAACTTTCGAGATGTTACGTCGCTATTTAGGGGTTGAGCCTAAATGCCCGTCAACAGTATTCTAAGGGACCAACGGGGGATAGCTGGCTAGGCTATATCTACCTTAGGTACTGAAGTTTCCTATTTAATTTATATTCCCTTAGAGGAACTACCAAGGGTCGTACTACAATATATATATATAACATTTTAGGTTAACAACGATATAAATAAATATTTATTAAGCAATTGAAATATTAAATAGATAATACAACCTGCTGGACACCTAGAGATGTTATAATCCAACAGGGAGCTGACGGCGACACACACACACACTATAATATACGGGGTAGCGAAGTTAAGTTAATTATCAAGCAAAAGTAGTGATCGCGAAGATGGTAAAATGTCAACTGTCGATAGGGATATCTTATTATGGCACATTGGCCGTGAATTGCAAAAAGTGTTTATGTGTGCAGTCNGTGTTTATATGTGCAGTCTGTTAGTATTGTTGTATGTCACTGTGTTAATTATATAAATATGTCTATTAAACGGTACAACGATGTTATGGGAGACAGAGATATGGGCACATGCAAATGTGATCGTATCAGAGATTAAGTTCGTCTTCATGGTGAAAATGGCTATCATATTTAAAAATTTGCTATTTTTGTGTTAATATTCTTATTATTGTATTTTAATTTATTTTGAAATATCTTATAAGGGGAAACACTGATTTTTATGAATATTGTATAAATCTAATTGACATAGAATATAAAGTTTAATTTATTTAATTTTTATTCTTTTTTTAAGTCGAGTAAATTAAAATTTAAATCAGCTTAAATTGCCAATTTTATCGAACCACGAATGCGACGAACACTTGCCGAATCGGTAACAGTAGTGTCTTTCAATTAAGCTTTTCTTAATGGTATAAAAATTATGAAATTAATTTTGATTCATAAATGATGAAATTTAGTTTTTTATTTTATGTTTTTATAAATAATTTATACTATTTTAGTAATTTTATTTTCCTATGATAGGTTAAGATTTAGCCTAATTATTACCATAGATTTTACCCAAATTTTATATGTATATTAGAGATATTTAAATATTTTTTCTGAGTATAGTCGCATAAAAGTGTTATTTAATATTATGAAGTATCAAAATCAATATTTATGAAATGTTGTTTACTTTTTTTTTTGTAAGTCTGATTCTGATGAAACTTCCTTATATTCCAGTGTATTCATTCTTAAGTAACAGAAATTTTTTTTTGAAAAGTATTGCATCAAGACCTTTAAATTTTTATACACCTTAAAAGTAAAAAAATATATTCAAAATTAAATTAAAAAATAAATATATATTAAATATATGTTAAATAAATTTTTATTCATATATTATACTTTTAAATCAAAGAACCACTAATCAGGATATAATAAAAAAAACAGGAGTTGATGTTGTTTTTGTAATTATCCACCAATTTCTTAAAATTAAACACTATATACAGATTTGCATCGAAGCATTTCTTATGATAGTGATTTTAATCACTGTTAGATATCGTCTATACTTTTCCCAACTATGCCATATCCACTGTGCTGTGACCCCACTGTGCTGAGTTTTTTTAAACTTTATATTTATATAACTTTATGCTAATGTTGTAATACTTGATCATCATTAAAAATTTCAGGATGATCTAAATAAATTTTGTGATTGGTGCTGTTCAAATGGGTTAAAACTGAACACCTCTAAATGTTTCAAAATGTCTTTTTTCCGTTCAAAAATTAAGTTAATTAACGACTATCGATTCTATGAAGATCTCACTGAGGAAATTAATACTGTTAGAGTTCTGGGGACAGTACTTAAAACCAATTTATCTTTTCAGTCTCATGTCAATTATGTCTACGCGAATGTTCTAAGAATTCTTGGCTTTTTAACTAGGAATACCAAAGAATTTAGGAATGAACTGTGTCTTAAAACCTTGTACACTTTTTTTGTTATTTTATAAATTGAACTCTATTATTGTCATTTATTCTATACTTCTAATGTACTTTATTATATCTTTATGCTTATCGTGTTTTTATTGAATACATTAACTTTGTTACTGTACTTGAGCTTAAGGGTTTACCTAATAAATAAATAAATAAATTAGAAGTAAAGCGTAAATGCTGCTATTATTATCATTACTTATTTCTCAGTCAGCTCTCTCAGCTCCATCTCCTGCCTAAGTATAAAAATGTGGCTATTTTCCAAAAAACTTAATCAAACGTTGTTATCGATCAGTAATTTTCTTAATTCTTATTTAATAAAAAGATAATTTTCTATTTTATAATCTATTTTAATAAATAGTAAATAAATCAAAAATTGTATGTAACTGAAAAATACAAAAATATTTCTCAAAATGATTATTTTAAGACAAAATGGATGCCTATCGTTAAAATAATCACTTTTGTATAGCTGTTGTAAGTATAGTTTTTAGCTTCGATGCGAAGCTGAGAAGGAATTGGTTTTACTAAGATGTGTTTTTTTTTTTTTTTTTTTGTCTGTTATCACTTTTTTTCAGCTCTCACCGAACCGATTTCTTTCAATGATACGTCAAAAGATCACAAATTGTATCTAGTCGAAGACATTACCCTGAAAAAATGAAAAAATTTCCCTCGTTCCTTGTAAATGTGAGGACACGTCCAAAAAAATTACGAATTTAAAAATCGCTAATTTTCGAAATTTTTTCAATTTTTTTTACTTAAAAGTGCCATAACTTTTTCAAAAATGAACATATCAATATAATTCTTTTTTATATAAATGCATAATATCATTACCTTTCATTTGGTATATTTTTTTCATAAATTTAACCCTTAACCTGCTCACAAGGGGGGATTTAAAATGACAACTTTTTCACAAAAAATTAACTTTTTCAACTTAACTTTTGAAAATGTTCCGGAAGGTCTGACACTTTTATATATATCTTAAATTGAAGCTAAGGTAATATACTTTATTATGAAAAAAAAAAATTTTGGACTTTATTTTATCTTCACGGTGAAAATGGCTACCGAATGCTATTTTTGTGTGAAAATTTTCGATTTTGTATTTTACATTTTTAAATTTATTATGCTATAACTTTTTGAAAAATGTATGAATCATTACAATTTTTTTATGAGAAGTAGTATTTATATAGATCTTTCATTCGACATACTGTTTTTTTAAATCGGACCATTTCCCTAAATACAGGGGGGATTCAAAACATAAAAATGCATATAGAAAGTAGAACTTTTTCAACTTAACTTTTGAAAGTGTTCCGGAAGGTCTGACACTTTTATATATATCTTAAATTAAAGCTAATGTAATATACTTTATTATGGTAAAAAAAAATTTCGGACTTTATTTTATCTTCATGGTGAAAACAGACATCAAAGTTTATAAAAAAAGTACGATTTTTGTATAAAAATTCTTTTTTATATTTTTAACTTTATAATGCTATAACTTTTTGAAAGATGTATGGATCAATATAATTTTTTTTTATAGATGCATGATGTCTTTACCTATCATTTGGTATATATTTTTTTTATATCTGACCCTTTACCTGCCCACAGGGGGGGATTTAAAATGACAACTTTTTCACAAAAAATTTACTTTTTCAACTTAAATTTTGAAACTGTTCCGGAAAGTCTAACACTTTTATTTATACCTTAAATTAAAGTTAATGTAATCTACTTTATTATGCGAAAAAAAAATTTCGTACTTTATTTTATCTTCACGGTGAAAATGGCTACCAAATGCTATTATTATGTGAAAATTCTCGATTTTATTTTTTACATTTTTAACTTTATAATGCTATGACATATTTAAAAGTGTATGGATCAACATTATTTTTTTATAAGAAATAATATTTTTTAATAATCCCTTTTTCATTCGAAATACTTTATCTTAATTAGGATATTAATAATGAACTAGCAGATCATGTAGCTTTTGGAATAATCCACCAATTTTTTAAAATTAAACACTATCTAAAGATTTGCATCGAAGCGTTTTTTTTTTTATAGTGATTTTAATCACTGTCATATATCATTATACTTGATCCATCTATGCCACGTCACCACTGTGCCGCGACCCCCCTCAGCTGGGTATTTTAGTCTATAACGACTAAAAATTTATTAATTATTTATGTTAATAAAATAATGTTTTTGATGCTCAATAACAGTTTGACAAAAATGATTTGAAAAATTCTATTTGGTACTTGTTTTAATACAAGATATATATTATTTTCAGTTGGAAAACCGATTGATATTCCTAAAGTTTCAAATCCATCAAAAAAAGAAGTGGAAAAGTACCACAAAATATTTGTTGAAGAACTTGTAAAACTCTTTGAAGAACACAAAATGAAATACCTAAAAAATGCTGAAAACGTTAATTTAGTATTGGATGATGTTGAATAATGTGAAAAATTATTTACAGAGTGATCCATAGAGTTCTGACAAATTAATTAATTTTTTTATGACAATTTATTAACACCTCGTGTAACACCTATATAATCATAGGCGTAACTAGAATAAAATTTTTGAGTAAGCTAAACTTATATCTTCACCCTTGGAAACATTTTACCAATAAATATAGATTTCTAAAAAAAATTAGGGGCTATTTAATCAGCTGTTTATCCCTAGAATTCTTAGTTGCGCCAATGCATACATTTACTGATTTGTTTTTTGTTGGTAATTATTATTATTTTGTTGGTTTTATGGATGTTTAATGAGAGTGCTATCTGAACTAATTAACACTTTTTATTTATGAAATTATAAAAAGAATAAAGAGACATTTTTTTCAGAAATTTAACTATCTAATAAACTTACAGTTTCCAACAAAAATAAAAGATATTTATTCTTATTTTCTACTTGTTAAAATTTTTAATTTAATATCAATGTACAAGCACTAAGTAATATTTTTCATAATTTATATTGAAATAATGTTTGGTCAATACATCTTTTAAACCACTATTTAAGAATAAATCAACAATAAAGCAATAAGTTTATTTCAATTTTTAAAGATATTTCCGTATAAAAAACCTGAGATTATTTTTATTTAGAATTAAGACTATAGTATTAAAGTTAATAGAGATAAATTATTATATTTTAATCACAATAAATTCAAAAAAATTGTACGTATAATTTATTATCTTAAAATATATTGTAAGAGTAAGAAAATTACAATTTATTTTCCTATCGTCTATGGATATCATACTTAAATAAACTATATGATGTCATAAAAGCTTCTAGTAATATTACTATTTGTTGAAATCTTATATTTTTCTAAGATTTTTTAATGAAGTGTAATATCTAAATTCCTTTACAAAAAATATTAAATTTTAATTATTTAAAATAATAATGTTGAATATTCCATCCATACACAACCTATTCCAGTTTATGTAGCTTTCCTCTTTCCTCTTTTATTTTTTTTTTTTTGTGATTTCATAAATTTATTATAATAATAATATAGAATAATATTAAAAAGAAAAACAAATTTTGTACACAAATTATTGGTCATTAATATCATCTTCTTAGTTTCTACCCAACTATTTGGATTTGATATTAGAGGACTTTTCTCCGGGGGCGAACTGCGCGCTCAGCGCAGTCTCCGCCTGGATCCAGCAGGAGGGGAGCGGACTGAGCCTCGCCCTGGACAAGACCGAAGCGGTCCTGTTCACGGGCAGGTACAAGTTCGCTCCTCCGCGGCTCACCTTGCTGGGGGTGGACGTCCCGCTCAGGGATTCCATGACGTATCTGGGCCTGGTCTTCGACAAACGTCTGATGTTCGGGCCGCACATCACTCGTGCGGCCCAACGGGCCCAGAAAGTCATGGACAGCCTGGCGGGGCTCATGCCCAATCTGGGAGGACCGAGGGAGATGCGGCGCAGACTGCTCGTCAGCGTCGTTCACTCGGTCCTCCTGTACGGGTCCCCGGTCTGGGCGGATACCCTCGAGTATTCGCCCAGGAACCGCGAAGCCCTGCTCCGGGTGCAGAGGCGGGCGGCGATCCGGACCGTGTCGGCTTACTGAACGGTCTCCGGAGTGGCGGCGGGAATACTGTCGTCACTGCCGCCCGCCGACCTGCTAGCCGCGGAACGGGCCGCCGGACATGAGCTCCGCCGAGAGCGCGACCGACCCCTCGAACCCGAGGACCGGTTGGCGCTCCGGCGGACCACCATGCTCCGGTGGCGGGCTCGCCTCTCGGAGGAAACGAAGAGAGGCGAGTGGACCAGGTCCCTCATAGGACCCGACCGCCTGGAGAGGTGGGTGGCCCGGACACACGGTGAGATGTCTTACCGTCTCACGCAAGTGTTGTCCGGCCACGGCTGCTTCAACGAATACCTTCACGGTATTCGGAGGGCAGCCGCGCCGACGTGCGACCACTGCCAGGATCGCCCGGGAGAGGCAGACAACCCTCTTCCGGTGCGAGGCGTGGGCCCAGGAGCGGGACTCGCTGGAGTCCCGTCTGGGGTCCACGATCCGCGTCGGGTCCTTGGTGGACCTGATGTTGGGAAGCCGGGAGGCGTGGAGGCTCGTCCAGGCGTTCGCCGAATCCGTCCTGAAAAGGAAGGAGGAAGTCGAACGCCTGAGGCAGCGGCAGCCGCGCCGCCCGGTGCAGGAGGACCTAAGGCGCTGGTTTAGGCCGGCGCCTTAGGTATCCGTGTGTTTATGTTAAATGTTTGTGAGTTATTTTATGCCCCCTTCGCAAAATCCTGCCCCCACCTCCACGTGGTGCAACCCGGGCAACGGATCCCGACTTTTGGGATCCGGCTAACGGGGGAGGCCACACCACGTTGTGAATCAGCTCTTGATTAATTTCGGGCTGATTCACAACGTGGTGGTGTGAGTTTTAGAGACGGCGTGGGCCGCCCTGAGGCAATACCTAACGGTAGTTCCGGGGCG